TTATGAGTTTCAATTTTATTTATGACACATAATATTTTATTATGTGAATAATATACATATTTATTAAAATTAATAAAAAAATGCTATGAATGTTTAATAGCAATTAAAGATGTTATTTATTTGAAATTAAGCATGATAAATTTTGTTAGTCACCAAAGTGACTAAAATTTTAAGGTTATTTTGATTTCAAATTATTAATGATTTTATTTCAATTACCCATAATATGAACGCTAAAATTATGAATAATGATTTATGGGTTAATTGAAGTTCATTATTATAAGGCATTTCAGGATCACCCAAAGGTTGATTAGTTGTTATTATAATTAATGAACATGAAAGTAGATAATTTTGTGTGCGTCACTAGTTTTATTTATATACCCAAAGGTGTTAGGTGATTCTAGTTGATGCCTATTTTAATTATCATTAAAGTTATAAATTGATTAGCGTAATTATGTTTGTGTATTAGTGGATCTCCCAAAGGAGAACATTAGTATGCATAGAATGGTTATTTATGTTTGAATCTGTATTTATATTTAGTTTTTATGACTCAAAGCGTTAATGTTAGACATGTGTTAATTGAAGTATTTGTTTATGTATTTCTACATTCGCTTACTTCGTCTGTTCCAGTCTTTAATAGATTAAATTCCCTGATTGGAGTGAGAAAGTCCAATTTCACTTAGGTGAATTGGATTTTAATTTGGCTTTCCAAGTTGAAAAACCGGTTGCTATCACTGATGCCAGTAGTAATGAAGAGAAAACTCATTATAGAGCTTGGGAAAGATCAAACAGACTTAACCTTATGTTTATGCGAATGAGTGTAGTAAACAATATAAAGTCTGCTCTTCCCAAAACTGAGGATGCGAAAGAGTTTATGAAATTTGTGGAAGAGCGCTTTCAAACTGCTGACAAATCCCTCACTGGGACATTGATGAGTACATTGACCACCATGAAGTTTGATGGTTCTCGTAGTATGCATGAACACGTAATCGAAATGACAAATATCGCAGCAAGACTCAAGTCTCTTGGAATGACAGTGGAAGAAAATTTTCTTGTGTAGTTCATTTTGAACTCGTTACCGCCTGAGTATGGTCCGTTTCAGATGAATTATAACATCATGAAAGACAAATGGAATGTGCATGAATTGCACAGTATGTTAGTTCAGGAGGAGACCAGACTCAAGAACCTAGGAAGTCACTCTATTCATTACGTGAAAAAATCAAGGAGCTAAAAAAAAAATTATTAAGAAACATGTAAAGGGTAAAGGACCATTAAATATTAACGAGTCCTCTACTAACAGTTAGAAGAAAAATGACAAATGTCATTTCTGTGGGAAGTCTAGACATTTCCAAAAGGATTGCATAAAGCGTAAAGTTTGGCTCAAAAAGAAAGGTGAGCATAGTGTTTACGTATGTTTTGAATCAAACTTAACTGAAGTTCCCCATAATACTTGGTGGATTAATTCTGGATGTACGACTCATGTTTCTAATGTAATGCAAGGATTCCTTTCAACCCGAACCATAAACCCAAATGAGAAGTTCGTCTTCATGGGGAATAAAGTCAAGGTTCCAGTGGAAGCTGTCGGGACTTATCGTTTAATCCTTGACACTGGATATCACTTAGACCTTATGGATACTTTTTATGTACCTAGTATCATTAGAAATTTAGTTTCTTTGTCTAAGCTTGATGTTGTTGGATACTCTTTTAAGTTTGGGAATGGTTGTTTCAGTTTGTTTAAGCGTACTTCTATGATTTGATATGGTTAGGAGTATGTTAAGTAATTCATGTTTACCTGTATCGTTGTGGATGTATGCTTTGAAGACTCGCCATGTATTTTTTGAACAGGGTTCCTAGTAAAGTTGTTCAAAAGACTCATTTTGAGTTATGAAAAAGTAGGAAACCTAGTTTGAGACACCTGCTTGTTTGGGGTAGTCGAGCGTAAGTAAGAATTTATAATCCGCAAGAAAAGAAACTGGATGCAAGAACAATCAGTGGATATTTCATTGGTTATCCAGAAAAATCAAAAGGGTATATGTTTTACTGTCCTACCCATAGTACAAGAATTGTTGAAACTAAAAATGCTCGATTCATTGAAAATGGTGTGAAGCCAGTGGGAGTGAAGCTTCACGAAATGTGGAGATTAAGGAAGTTAGAGTACAAGTTCCAATAACTAGTACATCTTCAAGAGTTGTTGTTCCAAATGTTGTAAAACCACACAACAATAAAGAAGAACAACAAATTAATGATCTCGAGATTAACAATGAACTGATAATAGAACAATCACAAGAAATAGTATTAAGAAGATCTTACAGAGAAAGAAAGTCTGCTATTTCGAATGATTACGTGGTTTATCTACAAGAGTCAGAAAATGACTTAAGTATTGATAATGACCCAGTTTTATTTTCAGACGTCATTAATGATGATAATTCTGACAAATGGTTAGATGTTATGAAAGATGAGCTTAAATCAATGGTACATGATGGTGCATGGGATCTTGTGGAATTGTCAGAAGGATGCAAGAGTGTTGGGTGTAAATGGGTCTTTAAGACTAAGCGTGACTCTCATGGCAATATTGAACGTTACAAGACCCGTCTTGTTTCCAAAGGTTTTACTCAGAAAGGTGGCATTGATTATAAGGAAACATTTTCACATGTTTCTAAGAAAGATTCCTTTAGAATTATCATGACATTAGTAGCTCATTATGATCTTGAGTTGCATCAAATGGATGTTAAAACTACTTTTCTGAATGGAGATTTAGAGGAGGATGTTTATATGAATCAACCAATGGGGTTTATTGAAGAAGGAAAGGAACATATGTTTGTAAACTTAAGAAATCAATATATGGACTTAAACAAGCTTCTCGACAATGGTATCTTAAGTTCAATTATACTATTATGTCCTTTGGATTTAAGGAAAACACTGTTGATCTGTGTATATATCTGAAGGTCAGTGGGAGCAAGTTTATATTTCTGATTCTGTATGTTGATGATATCTTGCTTGCGACTAATGATCTTGGTCTATTAAGTGAGACTAAGAAGTTTCTCTCTAACAACTTTGAAATGAAAGATATGGGTGAGGCATACTATGTGATAGGAATAGAAATATTCCGTGATAGATCACAAGGACTGTTAAGTTTGTCTCAGAAAGCATATATTAATAAAGTTTTAGAGAGATTCAGAATGGAGAATTATTCTGCATCTCCCGTTCCAATACAGAAAGGAGACAAATTTAGTCTCATGCAATGTCCAAAGAATGACTTGGAACGAAAACAGATGGAAAATATCCCTTATGCATCTGTTGTTGGGAGTTTGATGTATGCTCAAACATGTACGAGGCCAGATATTAGCTTTGTAGTTGGTATGCTTGGTAGATACCAGAGTAATCCTGGACTGGATCATTGGAAGGTTGCAAAGAAAGTTTTAAGATACTTACAAGGAACAAAGAATCACATGTTTACTTATAAGAAAGTTGATCAACTTGAGGTGATTGGATATACAGATTCAAATTTTTCTGGTTGTATGGATACACGAAAATTTACATTTGGTTATGTGTATCTTTTATCCGGAGAAACGATTTCATGGAAAAGTGCGAAACAGTCTGTCATTGCTGCATCCACCATGAAAACTGAATTTGTGGCATGCTTCGAGGCTACAGTTCAAGCTAATTGGTTGCGGAATTTTATTTCAGGACTTGGAGTAGTTGACAACATTGTCAAGCCGCTGAAAATTTATTGTGACAATTCCGGAGCAGTCTTCTTTTCTAAGAACGACAAGTATTCCAAAGGTGCTAAGTATATGGAATTGAAATACTTTGTCATTAAAGAAGAAGTTCAGAAACGTAGAGTGTCAATAGAACATACTAGCACTGATCTTATGATTGCTTATCCTTTAACAAAGGGATTATCGCCCAAATTATTTGCTGGTCATATAATGAATGTGGGCATTATGTTCACTAGTGAATGTTGAATGTTAATGTTATTATTAATGCTTATGTGACACTCTGAGATCTTTAATGTATAAGTTTCTGAATTTTGTGTTTTCTTCTTTATTTATATGCATGCAAATTATGATGAAGAAAACAAATTATGTTATTATTATTAAAATGATATTATGTTCGAACCCATTATGGACTTCTCATTATAAAGTCATATTAAGGAGAAAGAGATAATATAGTGGTACATGGAAGGGAGCCTGTCGATTGAATGACATGTAACCGCCATGACTCTTGTTATAGTTGTATCTTTAATTATGAATAATGATAAAACCAATTTATGTAAGGTCCTTTAATGCGCATTATGATTTAAGTATTAAATCACAGAACTGTATGACATCACATGAGTAGTGGGAGAATGTTAGAATTAATTTAATTAATTCATTCCATTATGTGACTCATGTGAAATATAATAATGGGCTCAAATGTGATTTAATAAATTATAAGGACCTATTGGTTATTATGTGAAGTCAGAATAAAATAAAGATAAAATAAAATATTAACTTACGGTAACCAACTTGATGGACGTTGGTTAATTGAATGGAATAAGGGTTCTGTCTCTGGTCAAAAAGTTTTTCACGGTAAACCATCAAGAAAGCGTGAGAAGAGAAAGAAAGACAAAGAGATAGATTGGGAAAAAGAAGATTGGAGAACGAGAAGATTAAAGAATAAATTTTCATGGATCAAGGTTAGTTCTCTTATTATGATTCATGTATGTTATGTTGTGAAAATCAATAATCTAAAGATCATGCAGAGTAGTTTTCCATAATGAATTAAGAAAGTAGGAAAACTACATAATATTTTACAATTCATACAATTTGATTTAAGAAAAATAAAATCGAATTTGACAAAATTTATCGAGAGATTGAACTTTTTAACACTATATTTTTTTAGTCAATACCCAAGACTTAATCAATTGTTCTCAAATAAGAACAATCATTAGTTTACAAAAAACAATTTATCTTAATCCCTTCGCATAGGTTTTTGCTCAATTATCCAACAACGAATAAAATTCACTCCAACCATTGCCTCAACTTACTCTCATCCATGGTTCTAATGTTGTGTTTCAACTATGTATTCATCAAAAGTTCAAAAATTAAAATTACGTTTTTTTTTTCACAACTTAATAAATTATTTAATTATATTGAAAACTTTGACGGTGTGATTTTAGAGGGTTTGCAATTTAATTTTTGTAAAAAAAAAAATTTAAATTCATAATATTTTGATTTCATATTTATTATTATAATATTGTTATGCTCTGTTATAATATTTAAATGTTAATATTTCTTTTATTAAGAATAATAAAATAAGAAAAATTATGAAAAGGTAAAATAAAAATGAATAAATTTATTTGAAAAAAATTTTTTATTTTAAAAAATAAAATAAATATAAGCACAACTCTCCAACATTGGCTAAAGGAAATCAGAAATTTCATTATATCAAAAGTTTTTATTAATATATTGAAACTCAAAATGAAATTTAAGATAAGATTTTAGTTTTAACAAAATAAGTATTATTTAATCGTCAAATTTACATTCATATTTATGATTTTAAATTTAAATTTAATAATTATACTTAAAGTTATATAATTTATATTAACACTATTACTTTAGTCTTATTAAATATTCTGATTATATATTTCACATTCATTAATATATTATTTCACCATGATGTTTAATATAAAATTAGAGTTAGAGGCTAATACTTCAACCACTAAGCTATCAGAATTTTTTGATAATAATTTACAAATAAATTATATTTATATACAAATAAATTTATATATTTATATATTTTTATATAATTAAATATTTATTTTTTAAAATTATTTAATTTAAGAAATTATTATAAATTAATCTAATTATGATTAAATTAAATTATTAAATAAAAAATATTTAATTTTTTAATTAGGTGAATATTTACTAATTATTAATTTACCGACGAAATATTCGTCAGTAATTTACAGATGAATTTACCGACGGATATATCCGTCGGTATATTCATCTGTAAATTACCGATCGGATGTATCTCGTCTGTAACTAATTATTATTTTACCGACGGATATATCCGTCGGTAAAATCAAATTCCACAAATATTTTATATCTATCGGTAATTTCTATCGATAATAATTATTTACCGACGGATTTAAATCCGTCGGTAAATATCCGTCGCGATTTTCTTGTAGTGTATTTTATTTTATTCAATAAATGCATACAAGTTGGTATGGGATTTATTATAATAGTAAATGTACGGCAAAATAAACAAAAATTGACACGAATTTTCTTTTAACAATGTCTCTTTATATAAATAAAAAATAGATATTCTTAAATGATAATTTTAGGAATCATTATATATATATATATATTTAAGAATAAAAATTTAAGGATATTTTAAAATAGTTTATCTTTTATAATATTTTAAAAATATATTAATATCTTTAAAATAACAATATTAAAAATAAGAGCGATCCATTGCAGACCAAAAATTAGAGGTTTAAAATAATGTTAGTTAGATATTTAATATAAAATCTATTATTTTTAAATTTATCTCAAGCTCTTATTATATTTGAAGTAGAAACAATGAAAGATTGAGTTTTTATTCAAGATATGTAGGAAATAATAATAAAAAAAAATTTATATCCAAATTTAACAGTTACTCTAAATCTGTAATAAAATCTAATATTAAACTAACAATGAATTAGATTTTTTTATCCCACTTGATAAATCTACCAATAAATAATATCAAATCTTAAAATAATATCTAATACTAAAATTATCCTTAATATTTATTACTAATGTAAATTTTGATAATCTAATTATTTAAAATGATATTTTATATTAACTATAAACTACGAGGAATGGATAAAATCATTATAATATGAAATTTTATTATATATTTTTTAATATTTTATTTTTTATAATGTATTATTTTTATTATTTAATTTTTAAATTAAATTTTAATGTTCTTCTAAAAAAAATAAGAATCCACATCGTATCATAATAAAATCATTTTACATAAAACTAAAACTAATTTAAGATAAAAGATAAAATGCAAACGCGTGGAAAAGATAAAAGATAAATGAAATAAGATAAGTTAAGAAAGTTATAAAAGCATAAGAGGAGAAAAACTAAATCATTTGTGAAAGTTAGAAAAATTGATCTGTGAAAGTTAGATAAAGTGATCTATGAAAGCAAGAATGTCTGGGAAAAGTTGGTATAGGATGATCATGGATAACGATTTTTTAAATGTCACTGAAAATATTTCTGGAGTCAACTCTCCCACGCTTAATCCATCGCTCAACCCAGTAGAACAACCAATACCTCAACCCATTCTCGTCCATGATCCTAATCCTGCACCAAACACTTTTGTTCAATTGTCCAACAACCAACAAAACTCGTTACAACCACTGCCTGAAGCAAATCTCGTCCATGATCCAAATCCTCCACCAAATGCTCTTCCCGAATTATCCAACCACCAACAAAACACACTGCATCAGAACGATGGTTCTTCGCCACCGCGTCGACAACGCAAACCAAGGGATACATGGAGTGTTGAAGAACATAGGTATATGTCAAGAACTTTAAATTTTAGTTTTAGTTTTAGTTTTTTTCATCTTTGTTCAATCTCATCAACATATATAATCACGTTTCAATTAAGTTATTTTTTGTTTATTTCTCGCAGGCAATTTCTTTTTGGTCTTCAAATCTTTGGCCAGAGTTGGAAAAATATTTCACGATATATTGTTACGACCAGAACAGCGACTCAAGTAGCGAGTCATGCGCAAAAATATTTTGTACGTAAGAATATGTCATTGTCGAGTAAAAAAAGAAAAAGCATTCATGATATAACATTAGATTTAGATACGAGTTGTGTTGTCCAACCACAAGTTCAACAAGTCCAACATGATAATCTCCCTTTAGAGTTCTACCATCATGTTCAAGATATCTCAATGCAACCACCAGAGGTTCACCAAGTACAAGTCCAACCTGCTAATCTCCCTTCACAGTTCTACGATCATGATCAAAACTTTTTAATACAACAACCACAAGTTCAACAAGCACAACAAGTTGAACCTACTTATCTCTATGGAGAGTTCTACACTCATGATCAAGATTTCTCAACGCAACAACCCCAAATTCAACAACATGCAAATCTTTATCCTCATGCTCAAAACTTGTCAATGGAACAATCACAACTTCATTCAGTACAGCATATGTCACCATTGTCAAACTACGTTCTTACTTGAATTTGTTTAATTCAAATACTATGTACTTGCATAATTAATTATATAAAAAATTGTTATAATTTTTAATTATATGAATAAATATTTAAATTTTACTGCAATATATATATATATATATATATATATATATATATATATATATATATATATATAAAAGGACCGTTATGTATTTTAGTATCTTCATGACGCGCACAGAACTAAAATATATATAAAAAATATTTTTAAATATAGAAATTATACAATTGAATTTTGTAATAAATAAATTTTTTTATCGTAGAGGTTATATTTTCAAATCAACTTAAATAGTTTATAATGCGATACAAGGTTATTTTAAGTTTAATACTTTCATTTGCAGTTTTTTCAAATTTATTTTAAAAATGAAAATAATAAAGTAGGACTGATAACATTTTCTAAGTAAAATAAACTAGAGAAGTGATAATTATAAGCCATAAAAAATGATAAATTTATGATCACTATAATAATACAAAATCGGTAACAAACAAATATTATTTCAAAAAAATATATTAATACTTTATTATAAATTTAACATATACTAAAAATAGAAAATATAAAATGTGTAAAAAATTGAGTGATGAAATTCATAATATTAAAATAAAACTTTAATATTTGATTAATTTTAAATTATTGTTTTTACTTATAAAAATAATATATTTTTTAAATATTTATACGTAAATTATAATAAAATATTTATTTTTATTCTTACGTTATTATCATTTAAAAAAACTGTTCATATAACATTGTGGTGTAATATTTTTTAAAAAAATCTTCATTTTTATTTGAAGGTTTAAAATAATATTAAATTACATAAAACATTATAATCATTAAACTACAAAATAAATCTAATTTATCTATATAAAACTTAAAAAATACCCATCATATAAATTATTTTGTAAAATATAATATTATTACCTAACATATATATTTATTCTGATATATGATATGATATTAAAAAATTAGATGATACCTATATTTTTTTATCTGAAAATAATGTATATGTTGATATTTTAATAATATAAAAGAACCTAAAGTTATAGTTATTGTGAGATGAAGAGATTAATGAGCTAAACTAACATATTTCAAAAGTTATATGCAGTAGATATCATCTTATTTTTAAATTTAGTAGATATCATCTCATTTTGAATTTTGATTATATATTTATATATGAAAAAAATTAATTTGCTATAGTTTTTATATATACTTAAAATTATTTTTTATTTTGTTGAATTGGAAAGGTTAATTTTAAATATCCTTGTATTGTAATTTTTCTGGTCACGTGCTACATTTCGAAAAAAAGCCTAAGGGGTCTAAATTAAATAATATTGAAAATTACAGAGAAAAGAAAAATACTCACTTTGAAATTTTGAAATTGCATGGAATATTGATTTTTTTTTTGCGTTTATATTTTATATTCATGTTAGTGTAATTTTTTATTTATATTTTATTAATTTTTTAAATTTTATTTACGATAATTATTAATATAAAAAGTCGATAATATTTAAATTGATTATAAACAAATATTATTTTAAATAAATATATTACAAAATATTATAAATTTAAAATATTGATAAAATATATTAAAACTAAAAAATATGTTGATAAAATGGTGGAAGAAATTGAGTGATGAATCTCATAATATTAGAATAAGACTTTAATATTATACGAAAACTAATTTTATTATATATAATTAAATTCATATCAATGAGTGAGTTAGTTAAAGTTCGATTAATTATAAATGATTACTTTTATTTATTGATAATTAATATTTTAAATAATAATAGAAGTTACAGCTTGTATTTAAGAGTTTAACAAGCAACCTTAATATTTAACAATATTTAGTATTTCATTCTTTAAATTTATTTATTTATTTATATTTATTTCAAATTTTATTTTATTTTTCTTTCTTTATTTCTGTTCGTTTTCCTAAAAAAACAGTTAGAAATAAAGTTTTCTTTTAACAATATAGTGAAACTCCAAATAAAATTTAAGATAATATTGTAGTTTAAAAAAAGTATTTTTTTTTCAATTAAATTATGCAAGTTGGTATGGAATGTATCATATAAGTGCAGGTAAAAAAGACACGAGTATTTGAAACAAAGGAGATCCACCGCTGACTTTTTTAAGAAAAAGTTGACACGAACTTTCTTCTAATAATGTCTCTATATCTAAATTAAAATAGATATTCTTGAATGAAAATAATTTTGGGAATCATTATCCATATATATTTAAGAATAATAATTTAAAGATATTTTTAAATATATTTTATCTTTTAAAATAGTTTAGAGAGATAAATATTAAATTTTAAAATAAAAATATTAAAAATAAGAGAGATCCAATTATTTCCAGACCAAAAATTAGAGGTTTAAAATAATTTTATTCTTAGATTTTTAGTATAAAATCTATTATTTTCAATATTTATCATTATATTTGAAAAAAAAATTAAATATTGAGTTTTATTCAAAAATATTTAAAATAGAAAGAAAATAATAAAAAAGTGTCTTTCAAATTGTATATCTAAATTTAAAAGTTACTTTAAATCTATAATAAAATTTAATATTAAACTAAAAATAAACTAGATTTTTTATCTTATTTATCAACGAGAATCTACGATAAATAATACAAAATCTTAAAATAAGATTTAACACTAAAATTATCCTTAATATTTATTATTGTTATAAATTTTGATAGTCTAATTATATAAAATAATATTTTATATTAAGTATAAATTATAAAGAATGGATAAAGTCATTATAATATGAATTATTTCTCATATATTTTTTTAATATTTTATCTTTTATAGTATATTATTTCTATTATTTCATTTTTAAATTAAAATTTAATATTTTCTAAAAAAAACAATTACGAGTAGCATCAGATCACAACAAAATCATTTTACATAAAACTAAAACATAATTTAAATTAAATCATTAATAATATTTTAAAAAATATCTAAAAAAAATACAAGCACACGTGAAAGATAAAAGATAAATGATATAAGATAAATACATGATCAAGACTTCTCAATGCAACAACCCAAAATTCAACAACCAGCAATATATCCACATTTTTATCCTCCTACTCAAAACTTGACAATGGAACAACCACGAGTTAATTTAGTGCAACATATGTTACCATTTAAATTTTCAAATTAAATTATTTCTAGTTTATTTAATTCAAATAGTGTGTACTTGCATGTTTAATTATGTAAAAAAAAATTTATTAAACTATTATGATTTTTAATTATATGAATAAATATTTAAATTTTAGGAGATATATTTATAAAGAAAATAAAAAATGTTATATATTTTAGTAACACACGCATAAAAATAAAATTTATATAAAAAAAATATTTTTAAATATAGAAATTATACAATTGAATTTTTTTAGTAAATAAATATTTTTATCATAGAGGTTATATTTTCAAACAAACTTGAATAGTTTATAATGCGATACAAGGTTATTTTAAGTTTAATAATTTATTTTGCAGTTTTCTAAAATTTATTTTAAAAATGAAAATGATAAAGCAGGACTGATAACATTTTTTTAAGTAAAACAAACTAGAGAAGCGATAATTATAAGCCATAAAAAAAATGTTAAATTTATAAAAAATCGATAATATATAAATCGGTAACAAACAAATATTATTTCAAATAAATATATTAATACTTTATTATAAATTTAACATATCGATAAACTATATTAAAAATATATAATATGTTGATAAAATGTGTAAAAAAATTGAGTGATGAAATTCATAATATTAAAATAAAACATTAATATTATATATAATTAAGTTCATATTTAAAATTTGATTAATTTTAAATTATTTTTTTACCTATAATTTTTTTCAATATTCATATGTAAATTATAATAATTTTTTATTTGTTAATAATTTTTGTTATTATTTATTTTAAAAATGTCCTTATAACATTATGGTATAATATTTTTAAAAAGGCATTCTTCATTTTTGTTTTAAGGTTTAAAATAATATTTAATTACATAAAACTTTATAATCATTAAATTACATAATAAATATAATTTATCTATATACAAATTTAAAATACCTATATCATATAAGTTATTTTGTAAATTTGAAATTATAATATTATTAATTAACATAGTTATTCTGATATATGTTATGATGTTAAAAAATTAAATGACACCCATATTTTTTTCATCTGAAAATAATGCGTATATTGATATTTTAATAATATAAAAGAGCCCAAAGTTGTAATTATTGTGAGATGAAGAGATTAATTGGCTAAACTAACATGTTTCAAAAATTATATTTAGTATATATCATCTTATTTTTAAATTTGCTATAATTATATATCTCATTTTGAGTTTTGATTATATATTTATATATGACAAAAATTAATTTGCTATAATTTATATATATATTTATAAATATATTTTTTTTGTGAATTGGAAAGGTTAATTTTAAATATCCTTATATTCTAATTTTTTGTTCACATGCTTCATTTTGAAAAGAAGCCTATGGGGTCTAAATTAAATAATATTAAAAATTACAGAGAAAAGAAAAATGCTCACCTTGTAAATTTGAAATTGCATGGAATATTGATTTATATTTTTCGCGTTTTTATTTTATATTCATATTACTCTATTTTTTTTAATTGTATTTTATTAATTTTATTTATGATAATGGTTAATAATAAAAAAATAGATAATATTTAAATTAGTCATAAACAAATATTATTTTGAATAAATATATTAATACTTTATTATAAATTTAAAATATCGATAAAATATATTAAAAATAATAATATATTGATAAAATGGGTATAGAAACTGAGTGACGAATCTCATCAATTAAAATAAGGCTTTAATATTATACAAAAACCAATTTTATTATATATAATTAAATTCATATCAATAAGTCAGTTATTTAAAGTTCAATTAATTTTCAATAATTACTTTTATTTATTGATGATTAATGTTTTTTAAAATAATAATATTAAAAATAAAAGAAAAAAAGTTCGGTATTTAAGAGTTTAACAAGCAACATTAAATTTTCAAATTTTCGTGTTAATTATTATTTTTTAAATTTTTCTTTAAATTTGTTTGACTTTTAAAGATGTTTCGTGTAAATTTTTTTAATTTACTAATTTTAATAACGAAAAGTTGTATGAAATATTTTGTGAATATTATGAATATATGATATGAAATTAAAACAAATTAAATGGCACTTATAATACTACTTCCTCTTATATAACTATATTGATCGTAATTTTAATTTATTATAAAAGACATTATTATCCAAATTGTTGTGTGTAATGGGGCTTGACAAACATGGGCCGGGCGGACTATTTGTTATTGGGTCTGGGCCCATGATTTTGGTTGGAAACAAGAATGACTTCCTTATATGTAATAAGTTTATTTTATTTTGAATAATTTATTTTGAAATATTAGGAAGGGAAGATTTGAATGGAGTAATAGATGGTGGAGAGTGCATTCATACGAATTTGATTGGGACGCAACGCAAACGGTGATGCGAACGTAGATGCGTGTGTTGCATAGTTGAGTTTGTTATTGGTTGCTTTCACCAAATATGTAGAAACCACACGCAATACAATAATACACGAAACCTATTATTATAAGTACCTTCCTCCATTACTCAATATATAACTTTTTTTTTTATTCAAATAACTATTTTTTATCTTAAAAGTATTTTAATAGTTCATTCAAATATAGGTTTACTAATGATAAATATTTATCAAAAACTATAAAGCAGTGTTTAAAAAGTTCATTGAAACGTAAGTTGACAAAAGAGACATATTTATAAATAATTAAAAAAAAGATTTTTTAAAAACTAGTTAATTCAATCATAGAACAACAAACATAAAACTAGAGAAGAGAAATATATTTATAGATGGATGATTTATTTTAATAAAAAAATTATAGACGAATAAATTGTTGTTTGGATAAATAATTTTAAAAAAATACAAAATTTAATAATTAAAGAATGTAATTTATTATTTAAAATGATATTAGTATTTAATAATTTTTTTGTAATTTTTAATTTCTTATAATTTTTTCATAGTTTTTTTTAATTTATGATTTTATCTATTTAAATTTGTCCATCTTAATTTAACTTGACCTATTTTAAATATGTTTGACTTAAAAAAAATGATATAATTTGTCCAATTTTTGTTTAACTTGTCATGGTGATCTAGTTTGATTCTATATAATTTATTCATGTTAGACTCAACATATTTCGATAATATTTAATTCATTATGATAATATTTAACTCATTCAAATATGATCGCTTTTAATATTATTTGTTCCATTCAAAACTTATCTTTTCCGTCCTTATTTGATTTGACTAAATCCGATTAATTTCAATCTAATTTGATCAGAATTGTCCATCTTAACCAAACCTAATATATCCTAATCTAGTTTGTGTGAGTGTAAGTTAACCTATTTTATTATTGGTTTTTTTTAATTATAATTTAACTCGAGTATTTTAATTTGTTTGACCTAATTTGATTATTTATCTGGATATAAACAAACTCGTTCTAATATATGATTTTACTGAATTATTTTTAGTTGAATTTAATTGAGTTTAACGTGATGCAGTAATTTGCTTAGGCTAATTGATGTGAATAAGAAGTTTGTTGAAAATGATGGAAGAAAAAGAAGGGTGAACGTAAGGAATTAGGTGTATCGAAGGGGCATGGGAACATTAATATCGAATGACTTTGGTAATCATGTGTCCACGTGATGATGGTACTTTCCCTATTCCTATTCAGAATATTTCCAACTAACTATTTTTCATTTTATGGGTAACAATTTCTTCTCACTCAGAAACCATCGAACAATTTCTTTTAGTTATAATGCATGTGCTTCAACCACACTTCTCAAATCATTTCTTTTCAACATTTTTTAACCCTTACATTAATCAACATACTCAAAATATGACATATTATGTTCGTTTATGTTATTTTAAATTTAACAATATAATATAAAATTAGTAATATAATGCATAATGTTAAAAATATGATTAATAATTAAAACTAAAATCTCAATAAAAAATATTATCAATAAAATGAATTTAACATCTTTTATTTCTAGCTTTTTTGTGTGAATTTTTACTTTTAATATGAAAACAAACTTTTTCATGTTTTTGACCCTGTGTTTTAACTTTTCTTTTTAAATATAAGAATAGTATTTATTTTATAAATCTTATTTTTTTTTTGTAAGTGACACATATTAAATGCTATGAGTATTTAATACTTTGATTCAACACATAACACAATTAATTAATGCAATGTAATATTAGGATAAAAATGATAATATTTAAATTTTACAAATAGTAAAAATAGTGATTTTTACATAAGACTAAAATTAAAACTCATTCATTTAAAACTACTAAAAACACATTTATGTTTTTATTTTATTTTATTTTTTTTCATTTAAAAAAATATCAACATATTATTTTATCATAAATTAGATAAATAACAACATATTATTTATTTAGAGTATATATGGTAAAAAAAGAAATAAATAAAGAGAATAAAAAAGAAACAAGTGAGAAATAAGTTAAAAAAATAATGTTGTATGATTGGGAAGAAAATATGAAAAATAAAATAAAATAAAATATTGTTGTCTCTTATTTAAGCAAAATAATAATTATTTAAAAGGATTTTTATTATATAAATCTTAGGTGATGTAGTAAATTATTTAAATTTTTTATTAATTATTTTATTAAATAATTTTTAAAAAAATAGAATTAATTATAAAAGATAATAAAAAATATTTTAAAAAAATTTATTAAGAAAATTTATATTTAAGTAAAATTAATTATAAATTACTTAAATAAATTTATATTTTATGTTTTGTAACATAAAAAACACGAGTTAAACTGGTAAGATATTCTTAAATTAACGTTAACTAAATATAAAAAAATAATATTTTTAATATTATGTAGACAATAATAAATTATTTATTATTATAAACATTTATTTCTTTATAGATAAATAATACGACAATATAAATGATTTGATGAAGAGAAATAAAAGAAAATTTATATAAAATTTATTTTAAGATCATTTAACTTAAAATAAATATTGGTATTAATTACTAGAAAAAAATATTGTATAAAAAAACTACATAACCAAATTATACAACTGTAGTGAATTTTGTCGTTTTGAGCTTTTCTTGGTTATATAACCAGATTGTTCAGTTTTAATTTTACATCGAGACAAGGATTTTAGATAAAGAGTAAATATATAAATATTAATCATGGTATAAAAATCAATAAATTATATATTTAATATTTTTAATTAAATTTAAATTTAAAAAATAAAAATTATTTTATTTATTTTCCTTTATTTTAAAAATTAAGTCTATAATTTTACTTTTAAATATTCACATTTTAACGTAAAATTAGAATATCATAAAATATTAAATATTAAATTAATTTATAAAAAATAAATTATATTAATATTTTATATTTTTATATTACATTATACATTGTGTAATAAAAAATAAAAATAATAGAAAAAGTAAATTTATTTTCTGTTTTTACTTTTAAAAAAATTATTATGAGATGTTATTTTTTTTATCATATATGTTATTGAAAAAAATTCTAAAAAATTATAAAATGAAAAGTTATAATTTTTATACTATAGATATGAAATTAAAAAAAATATATATATAAAAATTAATGAGAAAAATTTATAATTTTTATAAAAAATAAGTATGATATTTATTATAAATAAAAATTAAGAAAAGGAAAAATAAAAATATGCTTAACATATTTATATGTAAACTGCTTTGATATATATGTTAAGCATCACTAAAAAAAATATGATACAAATAAAAATTCAAAGCAATAATTTTAAAGATATATTTTATAGGTCTGAAATTGAAAGTCATAACACCATGTGTTAAGTAGAAAATTTACTTTTTCTCTGTATCCAAAAGAAATGAATAGATAAAAGTTATAGTTTGTGACAGAAGATGGTCACTCATACTGTTGTTATGAGAAAAAAAATTGTTTATAGGATATAATTGATGTATTAGTATACTGTAATCAAGCTACAAATTAATTTATTTAGAAACTTATTTAATTTATTTTTTTAGTTTTTAAAATTAATTTTAAAAAATACTAAAAAAAATTGTTTGATAATTTCATTTTTTAAAAATTGTTTAAATAAAAATAAAATCATGATAAAATTTGAGAAATTATTTACAATATATAAAAAATTCTTGATGAAAACATTGATACTTACTTATTAATGGAAATAGAAAACTAAAACAAGAAATAATTTTTATTATTTTTTTTGTTTTTTAAAAACTAAAAAACAAAAACAATTTTCAAAAATTAATTTAACATCAAACAATTTTTAAAAAAATTTCAAAATTAAAAAATATTTCTAAAAACATTAAACAAATAAGTTCTAAAACCATAGTTCTTGTATTAGTTTATAAAAATATTAAAACTATTATTTTAATCTATTTATTTTTTAAATAAATATTAAAACTATTTATTTTAATCTGTTAGTAAGAAATAAATAACTTGGTAATGTCATTTTAATCTTGAATAAAGTGACATTTATTTGTTCTAAAACTGATTTGGCTTTTTCGTTTAAATTTTAATTTTAAATGTCATTATTTTATTTTATTTTATTAACAGGATAACATTATACAATTTATTATTGTTTGTTTATGTTATTTTTTATAATATAAAACTGTCATTGTTAATAGCTTTTGGTACATAACCATGTTTTTGGTACGAATGGTTTAAAATTGAAAAACAAAATCACATAGAACAACATACTTAGTTTGAAAACTATGAGAAGAAAACATATTAGTTTGAAAGAAATTACATATTATAAATTAATAAATATTTAAGCATACTTAGTTTTTGCAACAGAAGTATCATGCAATTATTCAGCTAAATCTCTTGCTATGACAATGGCATGATATGGAGAGAGACACCGAACGAAATTTGTTTTTTCTATAAGTTGCTTGAACCAAACCTTATTATATCATTGCTTCATTCAAAAACTAGAAAACAATAGATATAGAAACATGAGTTTTTTCTATGAAAAACTTCTTTTTCAATGGCTTCTAGTCATTCTTATGTGTTCTATTACTGCCTCCATCATTCAACATGTTTGTGCATTTAGCCTACCAACCAATGAAACTGTGCCAGCAGTCATGGTCTTTGGAGACTCCATTGTAGATACAGGAAACAACAATTATATCTCCACTCTTGTCAAATGCAATTTCCCTCCATATGGTAGAGATTTTGCTGAAGGAAATCATCCATCTGGGAGGTTCAGCAATGGCTTAGTCCCATCAGATATTATTGGTAGAATCTTCCATACTCTTAAAACATGTATCTTTTATATATAGTTGTGGACAAAAAATAGAATGAACTTGTTGTTTGCTCAATTTCTTAACTTCTTTGTTTCATTTTCAGCTGCAAAATTTGGAGTCAAGAATTTCTTACCACCTTATCTTGATCCAAGTTTGCAAATTCAAGATCTCCTCACTGGTGTAAGCTTTGCCTCAGGTGGAGCTGGATATGATCCTCTAACAGCTAAATTAGTGGTACATAACCATATATTCAACCCTGTTCATGTTATCTTAAAGCTAATTTACTTTGGAACATCTTAAAGCTAACTACAGTCATTTTTTCTGTCACAAGTCTGTGATGTCATTATCAGATCAATTAGATATGTTCAAGGACTATATAAAGAAGATAAATGATGCAGTTGGAGAAAACAGAACCCAACTAATAGTGTCTAAGAGCATATACATAGTGTGCATTGGAAGTGATGACATTGCCAATACTTATGCTCAATCACCGTTTAGACGTGTCGATTATGATATTGCTTCGTACACAGACCTAATGGCTTCAGAAGCCTCAAAATTCTTTGAGGTATGCTTTTTAAAAGATAAATATGGAAGCTGACATCTTTCCCTCTTTACAGTATGCATTAACTAATTTACAAACCCAACTTAATCTTGTCACCTTTTATAACGCATCTAACACCAAATTTGACCAACATCTTCTGTTCATAATATATCTATATATTATGTTTTCCACGTCTAGATAAACCACATGCCAAACTTTGGACTTATGTCCTGTTTTATTTATCCTTATGGATGCAGGCACTGTATGGAATAGGAGCGAGAAGAATTGGAGTATTTGGTTTACCAGCCATAGGATGTGTGCCATCACAAAGAACAGTGGGTGGAGGCTTCGATAGACAATGTGTAGAATTTTCTAATCAAGCAGCAATGCTATTTAACTCTAAACTCTCTTATCAGATGGATGCACTTGGGAAAAAGTTTTCGGATGCTAAACTTGTTTACCTTGATTCTTATCACGGATTGCTAAACATGATTCAAGATCCTGCTAAATATGGTAATCATCCATCAATCACATTATATCTATGAAACCAACCATATCTCAGGTTGTCTTTTAGCCTTTGAAATGGTTTGCAGAAGTGCCATCATTTAAATATTCTGTTTATCATTCATGTTTCATTTCATTAAAATCTCTCTTTCAAACATTTTACAATGTCAAAATGTCTATGCTTGCATAACATACAATGTCGTGTTTGTGGTCCATAATCACTAACTAGCTGCATGAAATTCATTCACATCTTCATATAATTCTTGTGCTCCTTCATGAACTTTCCCACGCAACCTACTAAATGAGTACCAACTTGAATGAGATTGTGATGATGAAGTGATTTGAATTTGGTGTTGAAAGGTTTCGAAGTGGCAGTGAAAGGATGCTGTGGCTCAGGGAATATAGAAGTGAGCATTTTGTGCAACCGTTACGTCTTACACACATGCTCTAACTCCTCTAACTACATATTTTGGGACAGCTACCATCCAACAGAGCAGGCATACTATGTTCTTAGTTCTATAATACTTGATAATAAAATCAATGAGTTCTTCTGAGGAAACATTCCATGTCTACTTTAAGGTTGCAAGGAAATATATACATATTTAAAACAGTTGATAGTGTGATTCTGAACCTCATTCTATATTTTATAATATTAATTGTATTGTATGGCATGTATTTGTTATTGGAATATATTGGACTTTTCTCTATTTCTTTTTTTATAATAATTCCGGTTAGATGTGATTTGTTACTTTTCTTGAAATAATAATTATTTTAATTTTCATGTCTTTAAATTTGAAAAATATTTATTAGAATTGTCATAAACAATTCTTAATTTACAAAGTTCATTTACAGTTATTTGTCTAATTAAATTTTTGTTTTATTTCTCTATGCTTTCTTAAATTATCAAAGGATATAAGATGGTTCATTAAAAGATATAAGTTACTCTTTTTATAATTAATATAAATTAGATTATTAGATATTCAAATAAAAACAATTTATATATTAATCCACTGTGAATCAATCTAACTCGAATCTAATCCGTTTAATGCCTGAGTTGAGTGGATTAGATTGTTTTTACTGTAATCAATGATGGAAGAGTGAGTCATTGAAATCCAAATTAAAATGAATGGATTAACTCCTGACTCAATCGTTGGATTTATAATTACTACATGTATCAATTTTGATAATGTAGTAAAATATTCTAAATCGTGAAAGAAAAAGCACATACGATGTGGCGTACAATAAAATATTTTGGTGGTGTATAATATTTGGACAAAGTACGATTAGATAGTACACACACTATTGATATGACATAAATAAATCTACTGTGATTGACTTCATGTCATAAACCTAATTAATTATTACATTAATTTTCATGATAAAAGAACTGTTGCTAAAAAGTGTGTTGGTAGTTCTCTGTGTTTATTAATACATTATATAAATAAATAAATAAATATATATATATATATAAATAATAGCTTAAATTTATGTTCAGACACAAGAAAAAGCGTTCTACCATTTGGGCTTTTATTTGTCTACGTAAAAGGTGGAAAATTGCAAAAATTGCTGTTGGGTTCCCATGAAAGAGAAAAATGACATGCCTATGAACAGGTACTTTTAAGGAAACACATTACATGTATGAGCCATGTTTCGTGGAAAACTTGGAGACAAGATTTCGTAATGCTTCAATAACTCAGCTGCCTTACCTAAGTACCTACTACCAACAAGTAATGGTTATGGACTTCCAATCAACAAAATATACAACATGAAAATCGCCATTATAAATGTATTATATGGATCAAAACCTTAGTAGCAGAAGAGTGAAATTCAAATCACATGATGATGATAATAACTCTTTCCACCCTTCAATCTCTTAATGTATGTCTGTTTCTTGTGCTGTTTTATCTATTTGATGTGACAGCCAAATCACAAACAAAATATAGAGAGTTTGCATTTCCTGCTGTTATAGTTTTTGGTGACTCAATCTTCGATACTGGGAACAACGATTATTTTGAAACAATAATGAAGGCAAATTTCAGACCATATGGGAGGGATTTCTTTGGAGGAAAACCCACAGGAAGGTTTAGCAATGGCAGGATCCCTTCAGACTTGTTAGGTACTTCTTCTAACTAATGCTTATAAAAATGGTTTATTATATAAAAGAAAAGTGCTGTTTGTACAACAAATCATACCAACTAAATATGCAGCTAAGAAAAAAATATTGTATGAACATACTGTCATGCTTCATCATGCTTAGAAATTGGCTTATAATTTCAGCTGAAATTCTTGGAATAAAGGAGACTTTGCCACCCTATCTTGATCCAAATCTGGAGATTGAAGACCTTTTAACCGGGGTGTGTTTTGCCTCTGCCGGCTCAGGATATGATCCTCTAACGACTGCACTAGCAGTAATCATCACTCTGCTCAGCCACCACAATCTGTTTTCTTTCTCTCAACATTTCAATTCTGTGTTTTTACAACAGCATAACAGTTTTTCTCATTTGAATTATATATCAGGTAGTGTTGTCAGCAGAGGATCAACTGAATATGTTCAAAGGGTACGTAGGAAAACTGAAGGCAGATGTGGGGGAAGCAAGGACAGCTTTCATTCTAGCAAAAAGCATATTTTTCATCAGTATGGGAAGCAATGACATTTCGGTCACATATTTCATGTCACCGTATAGGAGAATTGAGTACAATATTGAAGAGTATACGAGTATGCTAGTCAATATATCTTCAAATTTTCTTCAGGTGTGCTTTTGATGTGAACAACATTTGAATTCAAGATAGGAACATATATCAATACCAAGTGCACTTCATGTATCCTTGTATTAGAAAATTCACAATTTGATGGAAATGTCATGAAATTTAATGGAAGGAACTGTACAAATATGGAGCAAGAAAGATTGGAGTACTGAGCCTGGCTCCAATAGGATGCGTGCCACTGCTGCGAACAATATGGGGAGGCGAAGAAAGGAATTGCGTAGAATCAGCAAACCAGGCAGCCATGGTCTACAACTCCAAGCTTTCTTCTTCAATGGTGGCTCTCAACAGAAGGCTTCCAAAAGCTAGGCTTGTCTACCTTGACATTTATAGTGAATTCAATGAATTTATCCACCACCACAATAAATTTGGTAAATCTCTTCATCCATGTTTAGTCTTGTACTCTTTATACTGTGCCACCTTCGCTAAATTTTATGATATTATGAGATTCTGATTAGCGACCAAATTGGCACATGAATTACGATTGACTGAGTCGTTGCTTGTGGCTCAGGATTTGAAGCGGAGGATATTGCATGCTGTGGCGTTGCAAATATTGAAGCAGGATTTCTGTGTAATTCTTTAACCTTTGAAGTGTGTGAAAATGCTACAAAATACATGTTCTGGGACAGTCTTCATCCCACGGAGCGAACTTACAGTATGCTTGTCTCAAATATCATAACAAAGAATATTCACAAGTTTGTTTGAAAATACTTATCCTTTTGATGTTAATATAATGGAAAATAGCTCAACATGTTATACAAAATTTAGTTAAACTATGTTATAAAACTTAGTTTCATGATCTTTATATTTCCAAAAGGTTAGTCTTTAACTATGGTAATGACCATGTTTGACAATAAACATGGTTTTATGAAAATAGTAATTTATAAATATTGTTTTATTATTATTGAGAATAAATGTGTGTTTAAAATCTAATTTCTGTGTGATCAGTTGTAGTTTTATAATAAAATATTTTTTCTTATATATTATTTTAATCGTTGTTTTGATAAATTATTTATTGTTATAAGTAATAGTTTATATTTAAATAATATTATTAAATGAAATCACGAATAAAAATGATATTATTAAAATTATTATATTTAAATTATTCAAATATTTTTATTTTTCCAAATCTTTATCTCTGTCGCTTATTTGCATAAAACGCAACTTACCATTATCATCATCGCACGGCTCATGGTCATCCATTATTTCTCAGGAGAAAAAACGACGTAACAGCTTGCGTTTCATTCTTCAACCGACCCTTTTACAATCCACAAGTCCAAAACAAAATCCCACGGTTTCCAAGTAATTTAATACAAAAAAAAAAATCACAGAAAATTTAGAAAGATGAATATAATTTTATTTATGACATTCTTCGGTCCTCTATTATTCCAAATCCACGAAGGCATAATTTTGTTAATTAGAAAATGGAACTCCAATTTTGTACAATGGGAAATTAGAAACCTAAACCTCAAAAACACAGTACCCATGTATAGAAAAATTGAAAACCTTAAACCCAAGAAATAGCAGGCAAGGTGAAGGTAAAAACCTGCGTCTGGCGCGGAATACAAATCGTAAGAATGATCTAAACATGCTAAGAAACACACTCAGATGAAATATAGGTGTTTCTGGTGAAATTTCGATCGATTTCGACTCTTAAGATATTTTGATCCTAATCAAAATTCTACCACGTAAGTTCTTTTTACTTAGGCTAGCAAATTAATTTTCAATCGAGATGCGTATGAGGATCGAGTTTTGCCCGATTTCAAAGATACTATTTTTGGTGTTTTATATTTAAAGTGTTCGAAGTAAAGAAAGCGAGAAAATTCGTGGAATCGAAAGCAAGTCTTGAACATTAGATTGCAAAAAACGTAACATGCGGAAATCTTAAATTTGCTTTAAGTATAAAAGACAGGGAATCGAAACAGAGTAAATGTAAATAACAGGAAGTATAAATGACAATAAATCAAATGTGCGTGAAAGTATAAATAACTTAGAAATCGAAATTGCATTAGTGTTAAATGACAAGAAAACTTAAACGCGGAAACTTAACTTTCATTGAATCGAAATGACCAAAAATCGAAAGTACAGAAACATAAAATTGCTAAAGATAAATTGCATCAAAGTAAATTACCAAGGAAAATACGTAAAACGGTAAAGGTACTCAATGAGCATGGAAATCCAGATTGCCGGAAGCTTCATGATGTTCGTCGTTTCTCCGGTAGACTTCTCACTAATGATTCTCGTTCTCCGCCAATTTTCTCGCTCCCTTTTCCTTTCATTCTTCGCCCTATTTATAGAGCATCCTTTAAGCAAGTAACCTCTTAGGAGCAGTTAATGAAAACTGCTACCACGTCCTACGTGCTTGTTGCAGTTTCTTCTTCAGTGTCAAAACTGCACCCACGTTCCCATGATCTTCGACCTCCGCCATGGTTTAAAAACTGCTTTCACGTTCCCATACATGAGGTAACTGCTTCTTTGACCTTGGACCTTTGCCATTGCTTGCCATGTTTGATGTACACGTTAATTGTTTCTTTCTTTATAACTTAGCCGGGATTTTGATACATGGGTTAACCTTTCTCCGATGTTGATTTCGGAATTTCGAGAACATTTGACTTGCCTTTGATTTCTCTTAATCTTAACATTACATAATTCTGATTTCTCGATTTCATTCACTAACGGGTATTAAACATTCATCCTTCGATTCTCGATTCAAATTCTCGCTTATATTGTCACATGGTCGTCGAACGCATTTTCCAGCTATCTTTCGATTTATCAGTCTTTAACTCAATCAAAAAGGGTTCTCGATTTGCTCCCATTTGTTTCTCGATCCCTTTACCGATTTCCCACTAACAAAATGCCCCATTGGAAGAATATAAATAGTTTCTGTTTATATTCTTTCAACATGATTTCCGTCTTCGCGTGTTGGAGGCCCACAATAACTTAGGTTTTAGGGTTTCTGGGGTTTTAGGGTTTCTTTTTGCTTTATGTCGCCGTCTCGTCAGTCTGTTGCCTTGCAGTACAAGCCACATTAATTGCCCTTGCTTCCGTCGTTTCCAACACCCTTTTCCCCTTAAACTCTATTAGTTTTTTACTCTGGTTTTTTACGCGAATTTTTACCTCTTTGCAACATCGTCTTCCTCCTTGAGCTCTTGCCTTCGTCCTTGCTACCCCACCTTTTAACCTCTATCCTGCTGCTTTCTTTAGCTTATTGAAATGGCAACTTCGTCCAAGTCTTCTGATTTTTCGGCTCCACCTCTTCCTTCGCTGACGGCTAACCTTCTGGAAATCAATAACCAGAAGTTTGCTCCAGTCCCTCTAATGGAGGAAGCTTCTCAGAAAGTCGCTGAGATGCAGGTACTCATTCCTTACACTGCTGATGGTGTTAATTTTGGTTTTGGGGGTCCTATTCGTTCTAGTAGTGAGACTTTTTCTTCCTTCACCCTCTCGAATAGTCCAGCACTTATTCACCACCCTGAAGTTCGGATTAATTTTTTGACTATGGTCTCGAGAGTATACCGAACGGGTCCTCCTTCCAAAAAACCTTCTTTTATTAGGTGGTTTGATAGAGTAGAAGCCAAGTTTGGGAACCACTAGAGAGATGTAGGGATTTTTTATTTTTTACACCTATCTCGATGCGACTTGTCGTTTTTGGATATGGCAATGTTTTTGTCTGCGGTGCATTTGTGGAATAAGGAATTACATGCTTTGGAGTTACCCTGTGGTCCCCTTTCACCTACTCTCTTTGAGGTTGCTGCTATAACCGGACTAAAACCCACTGGGGAAAAGTATTATAAGGGTGCTTACCCTTCGGATAATTCTTTGAGGTCTAAAATCGATTGGGAATTGAAGGCCTATGAACATTTCCTTGAGAAGCATTTCGTCGATGATGAATCAATAACTGTGACTGACGAAGAACACATAGCCTTTTTGGTGTATTGGCTATGTACCCATGTTTTCTGCCCCCAATCCATCCAAATTTCCTCCCACCTCTACAACCTTGCCTACCTCCTCCATACTGGCCGGCCTAGGATATGTTTGGCTAAACTTTTGTTGGCCCACGTGTATACTGCTTTCGACGAAGCTGTCGACATTTTGAGTACTCCTAAAGCATCGGGAAATTTCTATGGCCCTATTTGGTTTGTACAGTTATGGCTGAACTCGATTTTTGAGAGCATCATTTCCCCAACTTCCACTATCCCCCCAAGTGTAAATATTGAAGGTGCTCGATTGTCTTCTCGCCACCCTCACCACAAGCCTGACGAAGCGGCTTACTGTAAATATCTTAAGTTTTTGTTAACTAGATTTAATTTCGATTCAACTCTGGCTCCCTTTACCGTGCATCTTGGACGAATCAGCGACCAACTTCGAGGGCCAGTTTGGTTTAAGTCAAAATTCCCTTCCTTAACTCCTGGGTTGCAATCGGAGTTGGTTGATGTATGGAGTAGTTATTTGACCCATGATGTATTAGTATCGGGTTTTCAGTCAAAAGATTTCAAGCTCATCACCTATTACCCCCAACTTTTCTCGAGACAATTTGGTCTGAGCCAATCCATACCTTTCTTCCTCCTCGATACCTCCCCAAGGTCCAAGTTAAGTGAGTCGACGATCGGACGGGAGCTGACCAAACTATTACCACAAACCCCACTACTTTTTTATCCCTATGCTTTTGAATCAAATTATTTATCAACTGTGGGTTTCTCTCAATGGTGGGCTGATTGGTTCTCGAGTAATCATTCTGCTTTTGACGAAGTCCGACAAAAATTGACTGCTCGTCCTTCTCTTGTATTGCAGGACAAATCGAAAGCGAAGAAAGGTACACACTTCCACTGTCTTCAAATATCTCGATTCGAGAATTTTTATCAAATATGTTACAACCCACTGAAATTAGAATCGACCTTTTACGATGCTGTTATCTCCTTATCCAATAAACAGACACTAATCGATCGAACCACAAAATAATCAATCCTCTAGGTAGAACCCCTTTTGAAATGTATTGCCCAGATCGCCTTCCCACTTTTCCCACAGCTCCTTTTGGACTTGCCAAACCTTTAACTCATCCCAAATGGGTTCAAGAATTGAGATCCCTAAGGGAAACACTTCGCCCAAAACCCAAAAACAAAAATATTTCTGTATCGAAATTATCTTATTTCCCTTACCTCCATCTCCCTCAAATTCTCCTGCCTTCCTGGCTTGTACATATCGATCGAGTCACGATTTTGACTTCATCACCTTTTGGTGAGATTTTACTGCTTTTTTATGCTTTTTTAATTCCGTATATTGTAAGTTAATCCGAGTTCTCTTTTTTGACA